TTTACTATGTTGATGACTCAAAAGAAAAATAATTGTTACGTACTCTTTTCAACTCCAAAAATGGCATTGATGACTCAAAAGAAAAACCTCACCTTGTGGCATATGAGGCTTGGCCACACAAACTTCCAGAACCTTATCAACATCACTAATTCGGGAGCAGTTCGTGGACTACCAAAGATATCTAACTCAAAGCCTATAATATGTGGTGACTGCTGCAAGGGAAAACAGAGTAGAACTGATCACAGGCTCTCTGATCAACGTGCTAGCAATAGATGTTTGAAGCTATTACATACAGATCTCATGGGACCAACTGAAGTCGCAAGCATTGGTGGGAAGAGATATATTATGGTCATTGTCGATGACTATTCTAGATATTCTTGGGTAAGTTTCTTGAGGAAAAAATCTGAGGCATTTGAAAACTTCCAGGTGTTATGCGAGCAAGAGTCTAATGAGAATGGATCCAAGATCATGAGGATCAGAAGTGATCACGGCCGAGAATTTGAAAATAAGTCTTTTGAGGATTTCTGTAATACAAAAGGAATTATACATGAATTTTCAGCTCCCAAAACTCCTCAGCAAAACGGTGTCATTGAGAGGAAAAATAGAACACTACAAGAGATGGCACGGTGTATGATGCATGCAAGGGAAGTTCCTAAAAATTTGTGGGCAGAAGCAATTAACACTTCCTGTCACATAACAGGAAAGTTTGATGCAAGAGCAGATGAGGGAATCTTTTTAGGGTACTCGAATAACAATCGGGTTTATCGTATTTTTAATCTCAAATGTAGAAAGGTCATGGAGTCTGTCAACGTGAAGTTATGTAGTGAACTGGGTGATGACAGGAATCAAGACACATATGAAGAAAGATTGGAACTAAATGATTGCTCTGGATGTTTAGATGAGGAGAAAAATACCAGCGGTGAACAAGAGCTGGAAGCTGTCCAGACATCAAACGAACCGGACTCTGAAAACAACAGTTCTACATCAAAATCTGAAAAAATACCGTTGAGTGGCAAAAATCATCCTGTGGATCAGATTATTGGTGATCCCCAAGGTCCAATCTTGACTAGGGGGAAGTCTATTAACTTTAAAGAGCTTGCTGGATTAAACTGCTTTGTTTCAAAGGTGGAACCGAAGGACATCGTAACAGCCTTGGAGGATGAATTCTGGGTGGCAGCCCATGCAAGATGAACTATTACAGTTTGAAAGGAATGAATTGTGGGAACTCGTCTCACCTTCACTGGTGCTAACATCATTGGAACAAAGTGGATTTTTCAAAACAAAACAGATGAATGCGGGAATATAATACGAAATAAAGCTAGGCTGGTCGCTCAAGGGTATGCACAAGTTGAAGGATTTGATTTTGATGAGACCTTCGCTCCAGTTGCTCGGTTAGAAGCCGTGAGACTCTTACTCTCAATCGCCAGCTCTTTAAATTTCAAGTTATTCCAGATGGACGTCAAAACCGCTTTTCTAAATGGGTGGTTAAAGGAGGAAGTGTTTGTAGTACAACCAAAGGGATTTGAGGATCCAACATATCCACATCATGTATATAAGCTACGGAAGACACTCTATGGACTGAAACAAGCTCCCAGAGCCTGGTATGAACGCTTGTCTACGTATCTACTGTCTCAAAACTATACATGTGGATCGGTGAACAAAAATCTGTTCTTGAAGAAAAGCAATGGAGACTTAATGATTGCCCAGATCTATGTGGATGACATTGTGTTTGGATCTACCTCAGACAACCTGAAGAATGAGTTTGTGACAATCATGTCAAACGAGTTTGAAATGTCAATGCTAGGAGAACTCAAATATTTCTTGGGACTTCAAATTCAAAATTGCTCATACGGCATTTTTCTGAATCAGAGTAAGTTTATTTCAAGCTTGGTGAAACGTTTTGGAATTGACAATGGTAAACCTATACTAACCCCAATGGGTCTACAAGAGAAGTTATCTAAAGATGAGGGAGGCACATCAGTAGATGCAAAATCTTATCGAAGTGTGGTTGGGAGTCTTCTCTTGATAATATTAGTGATGGATTCACTCTGCCATACCCGGCTTTGATCACTGGATTGCTTGCTTCAATGGGGATTCATCCATCTGCCGATGAAGATGTTATTTATGTCAAATCTTGTTGCCCTTCGAAGAATATGTCCATCACACACAATGATTTAAAAGATGCGCTGACACTCTTTGGAGAAGAGTTGGTTCTGTTTCTCCAGTCCGAGAATCGTAAGCATGAACAAGAGCTCTTCCAGCTGGAGCAGCGGTGTGCTTAGATTCGTCATTCCATTGGCAAGATGAACATGATGCTTCGTGGTATTTTGCATAGTGGTGCCAATATTGAGGGGGAACATGTTGTTGGAGACAATGGACATGGTGCTGATGGAGATAATCACTCTGGTTAATGTAACCAAAAAGGGGAGAAGAAGATGCTGGAGTGTTGGGTTCTGTAGCAATGTTTTTGGCATGAAAGTGTTCCTTTTGTTTTTGTTTGTTGCTTTTGAATGGTCATGAATGGGGGGTTGAACCATCATAAACAAACTTTTATGGTGTTTTTTTTTTATGTCTGTGCATGAATTTCTTGGTTGTTGAATTAAGGGGAGTGTAGTGTGTATTAGTCTAGGCGAGCTTCATGATAAACATCTTCTATGGTTAGTATTAGTCTAGGCGAGCTTCATAATGGTGCATCTCCTATGGTTGGTCAACATCAACCAAAAAGGGGGAGTTTGTTAAGAGTTATGATTTTTATTTTTGGTTGATGGTTGTCTGCAGGAGGGTCAATCAACCAGCGAAATCTAGAAACGTATTGAATGCGGGTCCCCTCTGCGCATGTAACGGTAATAGACTCACAATTCTGTTACAACAAACAAAAATGTGATGTACAATTGATCATGTGAGGTATGCAGGTGAGTTGTTTGAACGTAGTGTAGTGTGTTGTAAATGAAAGAAAAGAGAGCTTGGTGAGTTGGACAATGTTTGTGATGTGAGGCAAACAGGAAATCTAAGAGTTGGGATTTTTGGGATTTCTGTGAGCTAAACATTGTAGAGGGTATCACTGTAACACAAACCGGTTCTTTTATAGTAGACATGAGCTTGGGTTGGAACCCCCAGATGTAGGTCATTGATGACCGAACTGGGTTAACAATTGGTTTTTGCATTTTGCTTTACTGCCTTCATTGTGTCTACGTTGTCTGGTCTGATTACAAACCTTCTGTGTTTAATCGAGTTCATATTGGTGTGTTGAGGTTCTGTCCTTGTTGTTTGCTGGAATTGGTAAGTTGGGACCTACAATATTCAAATGTAGTACAAATTAAGAGAAAATAACAAAAATATTTCTATTAGTGTCTTATAATACTAATATAACGATATTTGTACAAAAAATTATACAAATATAATAACATTTTTAATGTTAATACAATGTCGCAAAAGATAAGTTTAATTGGCGGACGAAGAAGTATTACAATGTGTGATAAATTTTTCTTTAAATATTCAAAAATATAACTCCTAAATAACTGTTCACTAGACATAATGATTTGCAATATTCAAATAAATTCAAACAAAAACCAATTGATTAACAATCAATGCATGGCCTGCCCCAAGAAAAATATTAGGTTGCACTATATCTATTTTAATTTGTTTCGGTTAAGACTCCTCGCTTGGTAAAGAGGCGGTCCGAAAATTTTTCCGAACTTGCGTATGTCGTACAGTTACAAAAGTGCCTTTTTACCACATATTGAAGAGGTTAATTTTGTAGTTGTTGATTAGAAAAACTTAGAAGCACATACCGAAGAGTTTTTCATTACATGGATGTTCTCTCCGACCCAATTTGTTACCTCATATTTGTAGATTATTTTCTTAAAATTAGTATGGTTGGCCAGGTTCTAGCATTATAATTTCCCTCTTTTTTTTCCTTTTTTTTTTTTTCTTCAGTTCGGTACTAATTTTTACAAATAGTAATATTAAATATAATCTATAAAATATTAATTAAAATTTCAAATAATTTATTATTTATATAAATATAATATAAAAACAAAAAAACCCGTACTCTTTATATGACATTAGACACCATAATAATTTTTTTAAACAATATTTATTCAGAAGTCTAGAAATCAAAATACACGTAACAAACACATAAATTTTAAATATAACAAATACTTTTATTTTTTTAAGCCCTTAAGTGCCATTTTTTTAAAAAAATAAATACTATTTTTTCCCCGCTTATTCATGCATATAACCAGTAATATATAAACGGCGGCGTTAGAATCAAATCATTATGCTGATTTGATCAACTTAGCACGCTATTATAATCAATATCAAATTATAAAACATATAACATATTATATATTGTATCTTGCAATATAATACTATATGTAATTATAATACGCTATCAAAATATATATTGTATATCATATTAAAATATATTATGGAATATGTACTATTTTTTTTTTTTTTATAAACATATGCTGCTATTAACTAAATCACCATAGTAGTCAAAGCCATAAAAATAATTCTTTTCAACAAATATTGGGAAACAAATTCCATTTCTTTAATTTATGGCCATTAATCCGGTCAGGTAAATTTCGAACTTGATTAGGGTGTGTTTCTTTGGGGGATTAGGCGAAAATTGAGTTTGACTTTGATTTTTATTAAAATTTTTAGATGAGTTTGAATATATGTATTTCTTTTGTATGTAGGTTTGGTTTGGATTGGAGAGATTTGATATGTATTAATTTGAAAGATAATTAATATAACAATATAAATATGGATTAAATTTAAAATTTTAAAATTAATAATGATATAATTTAATTATAAATTTATATTATATCAATATATATTATAGCAAAATTTATTCTCTATAAAATATGTATATATTGTATATATTTTATTATACTATAATTATTGTGATTATCAAATAATTATTTTGTAAGGGCCATTATCGAATTCAAAAAAAAAAAAAATGGCGATTTGCTGCTGAAAGAGCATGGGGATTTGGGAAAATTAACTGTGAACGCACCCTTAATTACAAACAGCAAAGGAAGCAGGGCAAAGAGTCCCCAAACATAGGGCAACAAAAATGGTTACAACTGATCACACTGTTTGGGCACAAAGGATATAGTTTCCTTGACAAGATCATGAACCACCAGCATGTTTTGCTGCTGAAAGTTGCCAAAAATGGACATTCCGCTGGAACTCTCCATGGCCAGGCACGCCACTCCACTCGAGTCCGCAACGATATAGTTCTCCCCCGGCAGGTCCAAGTCTGCCCCATTCCCTTCAAAGTGGAATATCAGCTTCGGCACGTCGATGTTTGTGGCACCAGATGGTATCTTGAAGCAGAGGTCGAGCCCCGTGTCTGCGGAGTCATCGACGGGGAGCTGCATCTGTGTCACAAATTCCTTTTTAAGGAGGTTGAAAACGTCCTCTTCCAGGTATGTAATCGTTGTTCCAGAGTCGATGATGACGCCGCCGGTGCCATCCTCATTTAGCGCGAAGCTCGACTTCTTGATGGGTAGCTGCTTGTCGCCCACGGTGATCCCATGGAGGGAGAGGTAGTAGAAAGATGGGGATGATGGGCTCGTGATCAATGGCGTAGTTACCATGTCCTTGGCGGCGAATGTGTCGTTTGCGGCTAGTGATCCCATTACAAGAGTGCTCGTTTTGGTTGAATCAATGGAAGTTAGACAGTAGGAGAACTTGGGCACGTCTAGTTGGGAGATGAGCGACAATGGTCCTCGTCCCATTCCCACAAGCCCGCTGCCTTGGCTGAACCCGCCGCCCTCATTGTCTGCGCCACATCCAAATCCGATTTTCGGGACACCAACTGAACCGAATGTGAAAGTCTCGGTGCCCATGATACCTATGAAATGAATTAATAGGATACCATGCTGTTAAATAAATGACCATTTCACTTAAAATTTTAAATTTCAAAGGATATTATGCATCATTAATCATTATCATACAATTTAAATTTATTCTACTTATGAATCTTGCATGAAAACGATAACGAATAAACGTGGTGGTGACTCGAGCATAAACGTCCCAACTTTGATATTATTTTAAGTTTACAAGTAAGATGATTTTTTAAGAAACTTGTATATGCTCTTAGATGATTATTTAACAAACTTGTAGATGCATATACCAATATTACTTTGTATGACAAGTTAATTAAAGTGTCTAGTTTTTTAGTGTGCTCTCGTAAACTCCTGTTGAACCTAATAGTCTCCGAGTGAATTATGTGTTCCACACAAACTTAGAGGCGTCGAGATTTAAAGCCATGACCTAATTAAAACATGTGTATTTAGTAGTGGTCGTAGTTGATCTACCTTGAGTTGAGGAATAGTCGCCGTAAGTATACATGTATTGGCAGGTGGCGTGGGTGCAGGACGACATGGAAAGCGCAGAGCAGAGTTTGCTGGAGCAGGGCAGCTTGGAGAAGGAAGACGACTTGTCGGGGTCGAAGATGGGCGTGGGCTGATCGAAGCACTGCTTGCAAGGCTTGCACTGAGTCCAGATGAGGTCGCTGCCGGTGTCAAGTATGGCCTGGTACGACGATGGCGGAGTGCCGATGGACAGCTCCATTAGGAACTCGCCATTGCCAGCATGGACGTGGGATTCGGTCGCGGGGTCTGAGGCCATCGCGTACAGCCTTTCAATCCTCGTTTTGCTGCGTCGCATTGAGCGCCGCACCAGCTCCAGTTTCGTGTAGTTTCCCCCAGCATCCACATGTTTTAACGTCACCTGAAAGCCCAGCGTGCTGCGCTCGAGCAGCTTCCGGGAGGGGGCGAAAGCCCCTGTTGTTGATGACAAGCCAAGAAACAGCACTCCAACCAACCACGCTAACGTAGTAGTATGCATTCCGTGAAGGATATAATGTCCGAAGAAAAAATTACGAAAGTGGTTCCTGCGATAGCGGAGGATATGGAAACGACAGATTCGAATTTACAGCTGAAGAAGAAGAAGAAGAAGAAGAAGTTGTTGGTGATGCATCAAAAGGATTTGGACATCGGGGGAAGGTAGGTGTCATATCTTTATTTATTGGCTTGATAGATTACCCTCCCTCTTCAACAGGGTCATATATGGTTACTTTATAAATACATTTAGTAATTTTTGGTTCAGCAAATTAATGTATATAATTAATTATTATCAAGGGAGCAATGAAATATCAAATATTAGTTCACCATCCATAGAACACAAACACAAGCATAAGCATGCATTATCATCACTTGTAACTAAAATAGAATGGAGAAGTAAACGTAAGGCTCTGAACAATTAATCAGATATAAATTGGGAGTGACGACATTGTCAATAACATTTGTAAAATAAAATAAAATAAAATAAAAACAAAAAAGAAGAGGGGAAATACAAAAGAGTTTGGTGGGAAGTGAAAGGAAAAGAAAAAAAAAAAAAAAAGTTGGTGGGCTAACTCATCTAATATGATCCGCTGTGCTAATAATAAGTAATAATGGTGATTGGGAAATAATGGAAGAGTATATGTTAGTGTACATGAATGAATGATATAAATGATTAAAGGTAGGAATATATTGAAAGAAAGGGTGAATGAATGAATGAACGTTGGTTAAGTTGGTTTGAAGCAACAGACTTCTGGATTACTTACTCACACTCGGATACAGACACACATATCATATCAATACACTGCTAATAATTAAACAAGAAAAGGAATAGCTTAATAATTAATTATTTGGGGAAAACCTTGACCAGGAATGGCACCCTCTTCATAGATCACTGCTATTGAAAAATAATTTTCTTCTATATTAAAATTTAAAATAATATAAGTGTATTAACAGTTTAACACTACAAAGATATATTTAAAAATGTTAACAATACAAAAATTATAGTAACCAAAATAAAATAAAACATAAAAGTAAGATGAATAATAAATAACTCTTACAAAATTTATATCTTACTTTAAATTCTAACTTGCAGTAAAAGCAAATATAAAATGTTTCATAAATCAGGTATCACAAAATTCATATTTCAATTTAAATATTAAATAGTATTACACACATTTTATATTAAATTAAAATTAAAATTAATTTACATATAAGTCATATTTATTGGTGAGGAAGAAGAGCAATTTTTTTTTTTTTTTTTTTTTTTATTGTTTCATGTAAATTTGCACTTAGGGATAAAAAATTTAAACAATATTCAAAAAATAAAAATTACAGTAACAAAAAATATAAAGAATTACTTAATGCAAATTATAAATTAAGTATTCATATCTCAATCTAAATTCAAACTTAATATATATTAAAAATAATTGCTCACAATCTATATTAAATTAAAAATTAAAATAAATTGAAAGAAAATCATATTTATGGGCTTTAGTCTTTTTTTTTTTTTTTTTGGATGGGCCTTCAGTCTCTTTTTTTATTGGGTTTGCTTTGTATAGTGTTAATTTTACAATGCAGGTGCAGAAATATTTTATTCCGCACTTACGTTGACTCTCTCAAATTTAATTATTATAATTATATATTATAAATTAATGATATAAATTAAATATTAATTTTATAAAGCATTCAACATTAATGCTGATAAATTTTATTCAGCGTATGACCCGTAGCCTTGATTTTAATTATTACATTCAATACCTATTTTGGTAATTATTAGAACAATTGTGTATTCATTTGAGATCTTATTAAATATTCAGAATTTAGGCAGAGTTTAATGCATTTTATATATTGATTTAGATGAACTTTTATAAATATAATTGGATTATTTATGAGTTTATACATTTCATAGCACTGTAAAATAATTTTTATTGATTTATATAGTTTGTATAAATTTATATGAAATACATTTATAAATAAAAAAATCAAATAATTAAATAAAAAAAAAATATATATAAAAACATATATATATGTAGTATTACATTTTTATAAAATAAACTATATATGAATATATATTATATATATCAATGATAAATAATAATTATAGCATAATACTACTACTTTTATGTTATGACACGTAGGGTCTACAAACCCATTATGTAGACACTACATTGTGCATCCATAGCATATATGATGCATTTATGTTAAGTCGCCATGTATTTTTTTTTTTTTTTTTTGTGATAACGTGGGAACGCAGCCACTATCCGAAAGTATGCACTGGTAAACTCCCGGCCGAATCTAAGTCGGCTATGTGTTCTTTTATTATTATTTTTTTTATTAGGTGGGAACTCGCAGCCGCTACCCAAAAGTGCGCATTAGATAAACTCCCGGTCGAACCTAAGTTGGTTATGTGTTCCTTTATTATTATTTTTTTATTAGGTGGAACTCGCAGCCGCTGCCCAAAAATCCGCATTGGATAAACCCCCGGCCGAACCTAATACCCTGCAAATCGGCCATGTATTCTTATATATATATATATATATATATGTATATTTGGTTATGAATAAATCCATTCACAATTTCTTCTTGGACAATCTCTCCCACTCTATATGTCTTCTCTCTGTAATTATAGTATCAATCAATATTCATACATAAATATATGCATACAATCCACAAATATATATTATTATATTTTGCACACGCATAGTTTATACATATATATATATATATACATGTAAATTATATTATTATTTATATAACAGTTATCAGTACTATAGCTCTTGCTTATTTTATTTTTAGAAAATTTTATTTTTATATTATCTATATTATCTATTTTTTAAACTATGAAAAATCTTGCAAAATTTTCTTTTAAGAATACATAATCAAATATACATATATATATTTGGGCCTTGAAATATATCACTCTCCCGAAAGCCCGACATGATTGGCTTAACCTGCGGTTGCAGGATTTTAAAATTGTTACAGAGTACAACTCTGCTATCCATCAGATTACATCTCAGTTGAAACTCTCTGCGGATAAATTGTTACTGAGAATGATATATCTTTCATGCTTCTAATGTTGTGCTACAACAACAATATGGTGAGAAAAAACTTTCAAAAGTACTTACAGCTCATAACATGTCTTTTATTAACCGAGCAAAATAATGAGTTACTGATGAAAAATCATCATTTCCGGCCCACTGGTTCTAGTCCGTTCCCTGAAGTGAACGTGACATTTTCTAAACGAGGCCGTGGACGTAGTAGAGGCCGTAAGAGTCAACGAAGTCGATATACCCCTTACAATCACCGTGGTTTTGACATTAATAGGAAATAGAGTAAACCCCAAGATGGGGATAGCCGAAAAGGCTAAACAGGAAAATAGGCCAATCAGCATTTGTAATTGGTGTGGCATTGAAGGCCACTGGGCCAATACTTGCAGAACAGCTAAACACCTAGCTGATCTTTATCAAGTCTCACTGCAGAAAAAGGGGAAGGAGGTTGAGATGAATCATGTTGATAACAATGACGACCCCGATGATGGTCTTCTGGATTACGACACAACGCATCTTGATATAGCGGATTTTTTCATAGATCCAGCAAACCCCCAGTGACAGACACACTATGTCATTTTACATAGTGCTATTTTATATTTTGTAATCTTTAAATTATCGCATATTACATTTTTGTAATGTATTTTGTAATATTTATATTTGTCTTTATTAATACTGCATTTATTTATATTTGAAGGTTAAATGGATGCCACTAAAAATGATGCAAATATGTGTTTCATTGACAGTACAACGACACATACTATATTGAAACACGAAAAATATTTCTCCTATTTGAAAAGAGAAATGATGAATGTCAATACAATAAGTGGCAGTGCGAAATTAATTGAAGGCTCGGGAGAACCCATTATATTTCTCCCCTCAGGGACGAAAATTGTGATACAGTATGCACTGTAGTCACTAAAGCTCGAAGAAATTTACTGAGCTTCCATAACATTCAGAAAAATGGTCATCACATTGAAACTATGAGTGATACCGATGGTGAATTTTTATTGATCACTAATATCATTGATAAAAAGAAATGCATCATTGAGAGATTACCCTCATTCTCTACTAGTTTATATTATGCCAGATTAGGTGTTGTTTAACACACCTCACGGTAGATCAAAAGACTACCGATTTTCAAATATGGCATGATCGCCTTAGGCATCCTTGCAGTATAATGATGAGGCAAATAATTGAGAATTCACATGACCATTCATTAAAAGGTCATAAAGTTCTAAACTCAAATGAGTTAACATGTGTTGCCTATATTCATAGAAAATAGATAACCAGGCCATCGCCAGCTAAAGTAGGTATTAAATCACTTATATTTTTGGAAAGGATACACGGGGATATATGTTGACTAATAGACCCATCGTATGGGTCATTTAAATATTTTATGGTGCTTATTGATGCATCAACCTGATGGTCACATGCTTTTTTATTATCTACTTGCAATATGACATTGGCGAGATTGCTTGCCCAAATTATTACATTACAAGCACAATTCCCCGATAATCCAATTAAGACTATACGTCTGGATAATGTTGGTGAATATACATCAAATGCATTTGATGATTATTGCATGTCGATTGGAATTAATGTAGAACACCTAATTGTTCATCTTCATACACAAAATGGCCTGACAGAATCATTTATTAAAAGATTGCAATTGATTTCTAGACCATTACTGATGAGGTCTGTGTTGCCCGTTTCAGCTTGGGGGCATACAATCTTACATGCATGAACACTTATAAGAATGAGGTCGACAAACTATCATAGCTCTTCCCCTATGCAATTAGTATTTGGTCACGAACCAAATATATTTCATCTACGTATTTTTGGGTGTGCTGTTTATGTTCTGATTCCACCCCCCAAAAGTAAAAAAATAGGTCCTTAATGTAGATTAAACATTTATGTTAGATATGAATCACTGTCAATTATAAAATATCTTGAACCTATGACGGGTGATTTATTCACTGCAAGATTTGCAGATTATCATTTTGATTAATAATATTTTTCGACATTAGGGAGAGAGAGAAATGAACCAAAAAGGGATATTAATTGGAAAATCGCATTGAATTTTTGTGATCCTCGTACAAAGCAGTGTGAAATAGAAGTTCAACGCATTATACATTTGCAAAATATTGCAAATCAGTTTCCGGATGCATTCAATGACTCGAGTAAAGTCACTCGATCATATATTCAAGCTACTAATGCTCCGACTAAAATAATTGTTCCTAATGGACAAATTGCAAGTGCTAATGAATCAGCAACACACTTAAAGCGTGGTAGACCACTCGGTTCCAAAGACAAACATCCTCGAAAGAAAAGTAGAATGAATGATGATAATTTTGGAAATATCAGGATTAACATTCATAAACCTCAATCTAATGAGGAAGTCAACCATGAAATACTTGGTCTAGAAGAGCACGATCTTGAAGAACATGATGAGATTATCGAAAACTCAATAAACTATGTTACTTCTAGAAAATGTTGGAACCGTAAAGAAACAATTATTGATAATGCCTTCGCATACAGTTTAGCACTTGATATAATGGAAGAAAATGAGGATCCAGAGCCAAAATCGGTTTATGAATGTCGGCAAAGAAATGACTGACTAAAATGGGAAAATGCAATTCAATCAGCTTGACTTATTAAACAAATGGGAGGTCTTCGGACCAATTGTTCAAACACCAGATGGTATAAAACAAGTTGGATACAAATGAGTGTTTGTACGAAAAAGAAATAAACATAATGAAATTGTGAGATATAAAACTCGTCTTGTAGCTCAGGGATTCTCACAAAGACCTGGAGTAGATTTGATAAAACATACTCTCCGGTTGTTGATGGAATAACATTTAGATACCATGTGAGCCTAGCAGTGCGAGAAAAGCTCGATATGTGTTTTTTAGACATAGTTACTGCATATCTTGATGGGTCTTTAGATACTGATATTTATATGAAAGTTCCTGGGCAATTCAATATGCCTAAAACATAGAAATTAAACCCAAGGGAATCATATTCCATCAAATTATAAAAGTCATTGTATGGATTTAAACAATCAGGGCGAATGTGGTATAATCGTCTCAGTGAATGGTTAATAAAAGAAGGTTATACTAATGATCCAATATGCCCATGCGTCTTTATGAAGAAAAATGGATTAAATTTTGTCATTATTGCGATATATGTTGATGATCTCAATTTAATTGGAACTCCATAAGAGATCAAAATTGCAGTTGAATGTCTAAAGAAAGAATTTAAGATCAAAGATTTTGGAAAGACAAAGTATTTTCTGGGATTACAAGTGGATCATGTAAACAATGAAATATTTATCCATCAATCCACATATACCCAAAAGGTATTAAAACAATTTTACATGGATAAATCTCACTCTCTGAGTACACCAATAGTGGTCGGATCCCTTGATCCCAATAAAGATCCATTTAGACCAAGAGAAGAAAATGACAAAATACTTGGCCCCGAGGTACCATATCTCAGCGCTATTGGCGCATTAATATACCTTGCAAATTGTACCAGACCAGACATATCTTTTTCAATAAATCTACTGGCCAAATTTAGCGCATCACCCACAAAGCGCCATTGGAATTGTATCAAGCACATTTTTCGTTACCTCCAGGGGACTCATGACCTCGGTTTATTTTATTCAAGTGAATCTCGAAATGAATTAATTGATTATGCTGATGCTGGTTATCTTTCTGATCTACACAAAACAAAAACTCAAACTGGCTATTTGTTTACTTGTGGTGGAACGGCGATCTCTTGGAGATCTGCTAAACAGACCATAACAACTACTTCTTCAAACCATGTTGAGGTTTTAGCAATTCACGAAGTCGGTCGTGAATGCGTTTGGTTGAGGTCTATGACTCACCGTATTTAGAAAAATTGTGGCTTGATTTCTGATGATATATTACCTCCCACAATATTATTTGAAGATAATGCAACTTGTATAGCTCAATTAAAAAGATGATATATTAAAGGCGATCGGACAAAGCACATATCTCTGAAGTTTTTTTTTTCATTCACAATCTTCATAAAAGTGGTGAAATTAACGTGCAAAACATTCGATCGTCTGAAAATTTTGCAGATTTATTTACGAAGGCGCTACTGACTGCAACATTCAACAAACTGGTGCAAGGAATTGGAATACGTCGGATGAAAGACATCAAATAAAGTCCAAAAAAAAAGGAGCAAATTAATATAAGAATAATGCACTCTTTTTTCCTTAATTATGATTTTTTTTTCCCACAAGATTGTTTCATAATAAAATTTTAACGAGACATATTCTTTGTATAAAAGTATCCAAGGGGGAATATTATGACAGATAATGTCTACAAACCCATTATGTAAACACTACATTGTGCATAAGTATCATATATGGATGCATTTATGTTAAGTCGGTCATGTATTCCTATATATATGTATCTTTGGTTAGGAATAAATCCATTCACAATTTCTTTTCCATCACACAATCTCTCCCTCTCTCTTAGGGATGTCAACGGGGTGCGTTCGGGACGGGTTTTGCAGGCCCCTGGATCCACCCCGCTAAAAAATATTAGGATCCAAGACCCGTCCCGCCTCGTTTCAACCCGGCCCCAGAATCCGTCCTGCCCCAAATCCTCCGGGTTCGGGGCCAACCCGACAAACCCGCTTTTTTTTTTAAGAAAAGAATAAAATAAAATTTTTTCAACATAATTTAATACTAAAAAAATATGCGTCAAAGTATCAAAAAAATTATAGTTCTAAAAAAAATTATATGCCACGGCGTTCTTGCGCCCTTTGGGGAGCGCCAGGCTTCACCACCCCGCCTTGTGGCAGAATGCGGTATGGCGACGTTGCGGTGATGTCGCGGCGTGTAGTCCTGAGCCGAAATCAAACCCTAACCCGATTCTAGGCTTAAACCTACTTGAACCGGACTGAACCGGTCTAAATATAAAGCCCTTCTCAAATCTTTTCTTCCGCCGCTGTTGTGTTTGAAATTGTTTTCTGCGAATCTTCCCCTCCACTCTAGTCCGCCGACGCCGCTCCAGTCTGCTGTTCCTTATCGTCGATATTTGGGTGAGTGGAATCTCAATTTTGATTTCTTAGTGGAATCTCAATTTTGATCTTTCACGCATAGAATTGAAATCGCTGTTTTATTTTTTATTTATCTTATATTATTATTATTCTATTATTAGTTTTTTAATATATATTATATTACTATTATTAACTAGTGTTTTAATAATATTTATTTTTATTTTGCATCATATTTTCTATATTTTTTCATTTTATAAAACAAAGTTTTTATTCATTTTGTATTATTTTGACATATTGATATATAAATATTTATAGGATTAAATTTTCTATGGCAGAAAGTGAAGCATCAACGATAGATTCATTCAAAGATCCCAAAAGAAAAGCTAAGTCAAATGATCCGGGTTGGAAATATGCTTTTTGGCCAGACTTGGGAAATAAATATTTGGTAGAATGTTTCATTTGCCATAAGCAAGTACGATCGGGAATAAAGCGATTGAAACAACACTTGCTTGGAAATTCTAGAGATGTAGAGTAGTGTTCAAAGACTATCGAAGAAATCCGGAATGAGATGCGGGAGTTCCTAAAGAAAAAGACAGTAGGAAAGCAGCCCATTCGTAGTCGTGTTGAATTAGATGACGACGACGACATTGACGACGATGTTGATGTGAATGTTCAAGGAGCAAGGCAAGGGTATCGCACGACTCAGTTTCTTATCCTAGCTTGGGTACTTTGAGCAAGAGGAAGCGTTTGCAATCTGTTCTAAATTTTCCATCGATGCCGTCACAAGGTGGAAAAAGAATTAAGTCGGTTACCTCAATGCTTAGAAAAATCCCAGAGGAAGTCATTGAGGAAAGACATAGCAAAACGAGTAGTGGAAGTCAAAGAACATTGGAAGCGTGTACATGGAGCAAGGAGGAGATCGAAAGATTTCATGGACATAATGCCGATTTTTTTTACGAAAATGGCATACCATTCAATGGCAAAGTCTCGAAGTTTTGAGATAATGATTGAGTCAGCGGGGCATATACGACCGGGTGTAAAAGGTCCAAGTTATTATGAATTACGAGTTCCTCTTTTGGAGAGGGCGGTGTAACAGACGCAAACATTGAAGGAAAAACATGTTATTGCTTGGAAGCAATGCCGTTGTTCACTTATGGCCGACGGGTGGACTGATAAAAGAGGGCAGCATTTGATTAATTTCCTCGTCAATAGCCCATAAGGTACATTTTTTTTGGAGTCGATTGATGCATCAAGTCAAGCTCAAGTTGCATCACTATTGGCGTATTTACTTCAGGCGAAAATTGAAGAAATTGGAAAAGAATACGTGGTTCATGTAGTAACAGACAATGGTGCTAATTTCAAGAAAGCGGGTAAAATATTGGAGCAACGCATACCCACTTTATATTGGACTCCTTGTGCAGCTCATTGCCTTGATCTTATGTTGGAAGATATCGGTAAATTGTCTATTTTCTGGGCAAAGATTGACAATGCAAGAAGAGTTACTACTTATATCTATAAGCACGCAAGGCTCCTTAATGCGATGCGGGAGAAGACGGACGGCAGTGATCTTGTAAGACCTGGGCCTACCCGGTTTGCTACTTCATTTTTTACTTTGCAGAGCTTATATAAGCACATGGATGCTTTGAGGAGCTTATTTTTTAGCGAAGATTGGACTGCATTGAAATTGGCTAATACAAATGCCGGGAAATTAGTAGCAAACACGGTATTGTCTTCTCCTTTTTGGACTGGTGTAGAGTATTGTATAAAAGCATTGCATCCACTTCTAACTATTTTGAGGATCGTTGACGGAGATGAGAAGCCAGCGATGCCGGAGCTTGGAGTAGCGATGAATGAAGCTAACAGGAAAATCAAAGAAGATTTTGAGAAAAAAACAAATTTGTTGAAAGAAGTTATGCATATTATCGATTGTCGGTGGGGGGATCAAATGGAAGTCGAGTTGTGTGGAGCTGCATTATTTCTCAATCCTTCCAAGTACTTTGATCTCAAGGTGAGTGATAATGCATATGCTTGTAAGGCACGAGCTATGTTTAATGATGTTCTTGAAAAAATGGTCACTGATGATGAATTGCAAACAAAGATTTGTGATCAAGTCGATGATTATGATAATATGCGGGGAAGCTTTAAAAAACAATTGGCTATTAAGCAACAGAAGGCAAAAAGTCCTCGTAAGTGCTTAATTTTTATAATTTTTATTTTATTTATTTATTTTTCCATTTTTCTTTAAAGTTCGAACTAAATATATTTTTTTTAATGTTTTACAATTTTAGTTGATTGGTGGAATGCTTTTGGAGGCCTTAATTTCGAGCTTCAATCACTTGTCTTCCGTATAATTAGTCTTTGTTGTTCGTCCTCCGGGTGTGAACGCAATTGGAGCTCATTTGAATTTGTAAGTATTTAATTACTTATATAAATGATATATTAAACATTATTGTTATCGTAGTCATATACTAATATATTATAATTTCTTTTTTAAATTCACATGAAAAAAATAAAAATAGATTGGAGCATAAGAGATTGAACGATTTAGTTTTCGCTTAATAAAATCGAAAAATTGCGAATAGATTTCAAAAGAGGCGCAAGGAAGGAAAGAACTTCAATCCTTTGGTGTTGGAGGAATTTGAATGGGATAATGAGTAGGTTCTCGACACCAATGATGTAGTTCATTCGGGAGAGGATCTTACATTAAGTCATGTCGATGAAACTATGGGTGCATCGGCCAATCTTGAACGCCGCAATATTCCTAAAAGGGAAAATATCGGAGATACATCGGGTTCATCAATACAATTATACTCTAGACGTCCTAAGAAAGCGTCAACTTCGGCATTGATGAAGCAAGAATTAGACGATGAAGATGTATCATTAGATGATGACATTGATGATGATGATTTGGAAGATATACCTAGTGGTAGTGGTGGACTTGAGCTCTCTGATTGTTGAAATTTGAGAGGATAAAATTGGTGGTTTAGAGATTCATGGATAGTATTTTGTTTTGTTTGATGATTGCAATTATATTTTTTATGGTATTATATTTCTTTTTATGATTTAAGGCATACGAAGCTTTGAAGATTAATAGGAAATTGATAATGTATGATTTTTACGGATTTATGATATTTATAATTATATATATCTATTTAATTTTATACATAGTACGCCGCGTTCGTCATTTTGTCGCCATGGCGGGCGCCACGTCGCCATGGCGGTATGGCGGTCCCTTAGCGCCGCGCCGCAAAAGGGCGCCGTGACAACCATGATAATAATTATTAAAATATCCGGATTCGAGTCCGGGATGTAGCAGGTAGTAAAACCCGTAACTCGCCCCAAATCCGACTGGATCTAAAACTCAAAATTTACAACCTGCTCCGAACAAAATTTTTTAAACCCAAACCCACCTCATTAAGACCGGGTCCGGGGCGGATCCGGGGCTAACCCGCCCATTTGACATCCCTACTCTCTCTATAGTTATAGTTATAGTATTAATTAATATACATACATAAATATATACATACAATCCACACATATATTATTATATTTTGCACACGCATAGTTTATACATATATATATATATTTGTATATTATATTATTATTTATATAACATTTTATATATTAATATTTCTAATTTTATAATTTTTATTATATTATCATTCAATATATTAATTTATTTTAATTAATTAGAATTTTAGCATAATTATATTACATGTGTATATATATTATTAATTTAATAAATTTAATGTAAAATAAAAATGGGATAAAATGAATATGGAGAGAAATATGTCTCATTGCCAAGTGACTTTCAAATCCTCTCAATATTTATTTTTTTTAATTAAATTTAGTTGGATATTTTTTTATACAAGAAAAATAATAATTAATTTAAATTTTCAATTAAAAAAAATATATTTTTCAAGAAATTTGCTAATTTGCTATTATATTTAAATTTTTAAAATTATTATCATTTTTCACTAACTATATTTTAATTTGTAAAATTTTTATTATTTTATTAGAAAAATATAATAATATCAATAAATATTATCATAATATTTATCACTAATAATAATAGTTATAATATACTTTTAAGAATCTATCAAAATCTTTGCTTACGAGGAGAGATTCTATACGACTTTTTCATAATTTTTCATTAAATCCAATAAAATTCATAAACTTTTAAATTCTTTGGATTGAATAGCTTTAGATTTTAAGAGACTTTTAAAAGTTTAAATTGGATACCTCCAAATTTTAAAAGAATTTTAAAAGTTTGTATTGAATACACCCAAATTTTAAAAGTTCTAATAGAATCTTACAAAATTAGGATTAAATGCATCCCATCCCCTAAAGTTTATCTAGTACAATATTGAAATATAGTCTCTCTGTCTCAATTCAAAGTACTCTTTTTATTATTTTCGTTTGTCATTTCCTATTTTAGAAAAATTAATCATACATTAATACAAAAATACCCTTAACTTTTATTTAAATTACAAAATATTATTATACATACAATTACTTTATACATAAAATCGAACAAAAATATCAAAATTCTTATACATTTCCACTAATTAATAAAATATTATTATTTTTTAAGCTACTAAAAAATCTCAAACGACCCTTTTAATTTGAGACTGAGATTATATCTAAATATCAAGAGTTAACTTGCTTTGGATTTGAAAAATACTATTTAAATCCAAATTTAATTAAAAAAATATAACTCAAATGCAAATTAATATGTAATATATTTAATTTATTATATTATAAAAGTGTTACTCGTTCTTTTCTTTGTTGGAGCCCGTAGATTTTTATTTTTTCTCTTAAGAATTCTATAGTTGAATATATGATTTTGTAAAAATGAATTTAAATTTGTGTAAATAGTAACATATGCGGGATTTGATATTTAAGAACAATTATAACTAGAGCAAAATATTCAAAATTCAAAAAATTTGATTGAATCAAATTGAAATTTAAAATTTGATTTTGAATTTTCAAAATTTCAAATTGGTTCAAACTGAATATTTTATATTTTGAATTTTTGAATAAATATACTAAAAATTTGAACCAATTCGAAATCAGAAATATAAATATCTTAATATATTTATTACTATATATATTTAATATTTTAATTAATAAAAATAAAAATTCAAAACTGTTAATTATATTTTACTATATTTATTGTATATATTATATATATTTAACAGTATTATAAAATAAGTATAAAAATATAAAATAAACTTTGAAATTGAAAATTAATAAAATATTTAAAATTTCAGATTATTTTGAAATTTTCAATTTGGTTCGAATTCGAATTTCAATTCTTTCTGTTCAATTCGGATTGATTTTATAAAAAAATTCATCAATATGGCAAAATTCGAAGAAAAAAAGAATCATAATGCTCACCCTTAATTATAATTATTGTTGGTTATATTAAGTAATTGAAGTTGACAAATTTATTTTTTCATGAAAATTAGTATTGCACTTTCTCTCTCTTCTATTAGTTTACATGTTTTCTATTTTTTATACCAAAATAATTGATATGATTCTATAGTAAAATATGTAATATATTAACAAATATAAATAAATTTAATTAATTTTAATATATTATCTTATTTCTCATATATTTAAAACCTTTTATTCATATTTTTATTAAATAAACAAATAAATTTATATACATTTATTTTTTTATTTTTTATAAAATTAATTTATATAAATTATAAATAAATATATACGTTTTATTATTTATATGTATTATATAAAATTTTATTCACTATAAAATGATATTCATAATATATATGTTTTATTGAGATATAAATGTTTAGAATATTAATAACATATTTTTTAAATTTTTTGTAATCCTGTTGGTCTGGAAAATAATATTCGACCTAAAAATTCTTGCCGGGACAACCAGCAGGTTTTCAAATGACTCGATGCGAACCTCCGATAGTATGTGATAAATTTGAGAAAAAATAATATAAAAAAAGACTATAGAAACAAATTGTATTGATTCGAGATGAAATTACATTATTTCTACAAGAAAAAAAATACTTACACGGAAATGAAAAAAAATAAAAAAAAAAAAGATAGAATTTGTGGATGAATTGGCTAGATCTTGCTCATGGCTGATGCTCCACATTTTATTATCCTTTCATTATTTTCCATAATGTATATAAAGGTTGTCCACTATCTTATATTAATAACCCAATCTTAATTCCTTGTTGTAACAGATGTTTCACTACTTCCATTTTTTCGCTAATTGCATATATAATAATCATTTTCTTCAATTGTATTTTCTCCTTCATAATCACTTCCTTGACACTCACTTTGATTGTGTATGTTGGGAATTTTAAATATTCGAGCCCAACCTAACGAGTCACTTGATAAATACAATAATTAGCCCACTTTTTAGCCTAGCCCACCAAATTCGGCTCAAACCCTTTAACTCAAACCCAAACCGAAGCCCAAACTTTTAAACCCATAGCCTAACCCAATTAGCGTGTGTGAGTTTGTTGGGTTTGTTAGAGTTAATTTTGTGGTTTAAGATATAGAAAGAGGAGCGTATGGTTTTTTCAATTGGTGTGAGTTTAGGCAATAAATTAGTGTGTGAATTTTTGGTGTGAGAGAAATTGTAGAGTTTAGGAGTTTCATTCAAAGAGAGAGAAGAGTGGGCGAAAGAGAGGGGAAAACCGGCGAGTGATTCCGGTGAGTTCCAAAAGATTTTTCGGTGAAAATAGATATTTTTTTAGTGCCGATTTTGGTGAGTGTCGAGATTTAGAGTGACGAGCCGTCCTCTATCTTGTGGCATAGTTACCTTGGGCTATTTTGCACCATGGCTTGAGCCTTAATTCAAAGTCCCTATCACCGGAGTTGAAGAAAAAAGAAGATCGGAGAAAATCGATCTTATTCAGAGCAATTTTGGTGAAATAGAAGTCATTGGAGTCGTTTGAGTTGGAGCCTCCGCCTAGGTACTTCGGAGAAGGAGTTGTTACTGAGCTGCTATCCGCCGGAGTTGACATTGTCCGCATGCTACTAGAAGGAGTTGCCAAAGAATTGGACTTAGGAGAAAGAAAAGAAGATCGAGATGTCGTTGTCGCTGTTTGGGGAAGTTCATGATTGGAGAGAAGATCCGTTCACCCTTGACCTTGCTCTGGAGGAGAAGTAGTTCTCCGGAGCTGCTGGTTGCCATCGTAAAAAAAACCATTAGTTGTTGACGGAAATATTTCACCTTTGGGTTGAGTTAAAGGGTTTGGTCCAAGTCCGTTTGGCCGGAGTAAGGAATGGGCCAATTATTGTATTTATCAATGAACTGGTTGAGTTAGGTCTCGAACGACTAAAATTACGAATGACTGCAAAGAAAAAAGAAAAAGAAATGAGAGGTACTTGAGGCATGTTCGAGTCGAGTGGCCAAAAAATAGGACAAATCAAACGGGGCTTATGAAATAGAGCTTACAGATGGGGTCCTAATACGAGAGAAGGCCACATGAAAGCCTCAGACTATTAATATTGATAAATGAAATTGCAATAAGAGACCACTACTAATTGACGTCAACCCCAAATTCCCAAGTTTCAATTGCACTCAAATTTGGAATGCTAAGCGTAGGCATGCAACAATGCAGAGCCGATGATCGGACATAAGTAGTATTAATCATAAAGTAAATTACGAGTTCGATCTTCGAGCCTCATTTTGAAATCTCAATTAATTCCGAGACAAACCAAAGGACTGTCAAGAAGATCAGAGATAAATGAGGATCGAGGGTAATGCCGTATCAACATTGATCCCAAGATAGGGGGTCCCCCGGGATCCGAGAGGTGTTCTTCAGATCTTTCTCTCCATTCGAAGTCAAAACTCTTATGAGTCAACAAACGACTACATCAGGATCAAATTGGCAAAAGAATACCATGAAGACCTCAGTAGGTACCCACATTCTTCCCATATTAGGATGTTAGAAGTGTAATTCTGG